ACTATTCATCGGGAATTAGGGTGTCGAACGTGTCCGGGACTGTAATAAAGGCGCCTTGGGCGATTTGCGCCGATCACTGTAATTAGAGATTAATCTTTGGGCCCCAGGACTCAACTGATGTTTATAATCAAAGGGAGGTGCTTTCTCTGCCCAACTACTGGTTCCTCTCGGGCTTATTTGTTTTTCGAGTCCTCGTGCTCTTTTTCGCATTATCTGTAATAGACGAGGTAGAAGATCCATCAAAACTCAATCTCGAGGGTCTTGGATGTGTTTTTTCTTCATTGAGCTGTGCTCAACATATCTGAAAATTGTTTTTTATTCAAGGGTTCTCGATTAAACGATTGCAATTAGTAAAGTACTTAGAAAAATCGCTCCACCTCTTGGCTTTTCCCTCTCGGGAAAACAACATCTTGGCCGATCCAACGAACGAACAATGTGATGAGCATTTACTTTCCCGATTAATATACTTTTCTTCTCGTTTTTGCTGACTGCCGGTTTCCGTACAGCAAATTTCTTCAATTCTCTCGTTTTGCAAAAAAAGAGCGCTACCCTCGACTGAACGAGAAATAAAAACGATGGAGGGTGTATTAAAGAGCCAGAATGAGAGGTAAGTCGAGCTAAAGAGTGCATTGTCCGAACGTCGATGTAACATGCGTTTCATGAAGTCTGTGGAGATGAGTGTAAAAAAAGGTGCTTCTCTCAGCAGTTGCAGAACTAATCCACGGTACTTTAGCGTCCATCACCCCCAGAGCGTGTCTCTTTTTGATCGTATGCATCTTTAGAGTATATAGAAGCCACTTCCACGCTCGCAAGCGCTAACTTCTCGACTGTGCATAGCCTTGGCTACTGCAGGTAAGAACTATCCAATGAGAAAAAGAGACAAAAGAAACGTAGAAGAAGAGTCGTATTTGCCGGGGTGATGGTTGAATGCCTTTTCCTGCATTTTCTTTCAATTACTCCACCTTTCGTACGGCGTAAGCCTCTTGGCTGCGAGTTACGGCACGATCCGGCTCTTACTTTCGGGGCGTCGAGTGGCAGAGCGCACGTCGAGAGGATCTGACGACTTTTTTTCTCCCTCTTGTTCTTATACCTACTCTTCTTCTTCGAGTTAGAACGAGCCGGAGATATATATTTTATGCCTTGGTTTTTATTTCTTTTCCCTCTAGCTCCTTGACTCTATTTTATACGGAATCTCAGGATATTGTTGGCAATTCATAAGAAAACCACGCTTTCCTCATAGGATTCGACACTTTCATGGACAAGAAGGACAAATTTTTTGTCTATTTCATAAATAAACTTTCGTATGAAATTCAGTACTTATTCTAATTTATTTTTCAATGATAGGAGATTTCGTTAAGTTACTTAATCGCATGTGTAGTGAAAAACAAGTTATGTTTATTTTTATCTAAATGCATGCATAAAAGTTTGTGTTGTTGGATTTGTGCCAAAATGACTTAATAACTTGAGTTGTATTGCTTATAAAATGTTTATAATTCTTCACGATTAAGATTAATTAATTAGAACAAAAACAAATGTATTTTCAGCTTTAAAAGTAAAAAAATGCGTTTCTATCTTATTTAGTTTATGTTTACGTATTATAACAAAAACGTACAGTCTTAACATGAGTGTACTGTTGCTCAGGAAAGTTTGCTATGATCCAACTTAGTGATTATTTCTTTGTATAATACATGAGCTTACCTGTATAATTATGCACACCCTAATATATCGATCGATGTCAGTCAATTTTTAGTTAACTTGAAAACCTGGTAAGCCATGTCACACCAGTGAGTAGAAGGACTCCCACGAAAGCATGATGCTTTTCTACCGATTCTCCGTACTTTTCGTACTCCTGCAAAATGTGATGGGCACAATTCAAAAAAATCAGTTGGAAGCACTAACCGACTTCATAGCATCGAATTTAACTTTTCATCAAGTTGTCATTCTAAAAGATCATCATGAAAATGTTGAATTGCAAAGTAATATCCTCTTCTACCTGTACAACCACAATGTTTCAGTTGTTATTTTTGATATTTCGAGTCCATATCGTGAATATCAATTCTTATCACAGTACACGCATCCGAGGAAAGTGTTATTCTACTTGATATTGTGTGAAGAATTTGACAACAACTACAACATCCCAATGAATAGTACTCATCGACTGCAACGTTTTGTAAATCTCATTGTTGGAATATCACCCGTGACGCCACGACCCCAGTGTTTAGTCATTTACGTACATCTGGAAGAAAATGATAACATTGTTGTTCAAAATATCCTAAAGTATGCTTGGGAACAAAATTTTCTTGACTTTTCCGTAATACAAATACGTAAGACCTTACATGTTACAAAACGAACATTAAATTCTCAGGTCGATTTATTACGTCAAGGATCTCACAATATGTTTATTACCTCCTACAATCCCTTTTTAAAAAAGTACAACGCAAAGGAGTTTCACTTCAGTTTTAACGTTTTTCCCAATACGCTTCATAACGTTCACGAATACCCAATAAAACTACATTTGTACTTTCTCCCTCATCAATCTTATTCAGGTTATAGTATTAATTTAAATGAAAATGAAAAATTAAATATGAATTTTATGCGATCACATCATTCGATTATTTTAACTGCAATGGAAGGAATGAATTTTTCTTACAAGTTTGAGACTTTTAACTTGAGTAACCGTACCATTGATGAATTTTTCAATTTGACCTTAAAAAAATTATTGAAACGAGAATTAAACGTTACAGTCGCGACTTTTTTGTCACAACGTTATTATGGAACTCCTTTTTCGTTGCAAGCACATGCGATAGACATGCGTTTCGAATTCGGAAATTTAGTTGCATTAGTACCAGTTCAGTTTCAACATCGATTTCATGTTCCAATCAGAAAGCTAATATATTTTTTTATTATACCAGGTACCATTTGCATTTTAATTGTAATCGTCAATTTTTTTAACCATGAAAAACTGAAATTTAGTATTTTGTGGGTAATACAAATTCTTCTTGCAATATCTGTCAAAATAAATCGTAAAAAAATGTTAGATAAAATAATTATTATAACATTAATTTTAGTGTCGAACAACTATTCATTAGAGTTTTATTCAGCTTTTCTGGAAGCAGAGGTAACGATCGAAGAATCGTTCTTTAAAACAATAGAGGAGTTGAAAGAATCCGAAATTATCTTTTATTCAATAACTTATAATGGAAAACTTCCTGAAATGACGAATGGGATGGGTACAACAAGTGTTAAAATAAAAACGTACAAAATTAAAAGTTATAGATACTGTCTTGATTTTATGTTGAATAAATCGAATGTTGGTTGTGTGGTAGCAAACGACTTTGCTGAATTTTGTTCCAAACATTTTATTGATTCCAACGGGAAGCAAGTCCTGAAAATAGCTGAACCGACGTTTATAAATTACCGAGAAATTATGACAGTCGAGAAAGGATTTCCATTTTCTGAGAAACTGGAAAAAAGCTTTCAACTTATTCATGAGTCTGGTGTTTTAAAATCATTTTGGTTATCAAATGTTAAAAGCAAGATCATTGTTCCTCGACGTGAAAATCGTGAACACAAAAAGTCAATTTTAATACGACTTATTGTAATGTTGCTATTCGGTTTTTTTATGTCAATCATAGCGTTTATTGTAGAATTATTATGCTTCTAATGGTATTCGTACAAATGTTTATAAATATAAGCACCTTTGAGCATACACATCTTAATCACTAAACCAATTATGTAAATGTACAATTTTGATGCATCAATAAAGTTTGACAATGAAATATTAAATATGTAACAATAAAATATTAAATATTCAATGTATCAGTAAAATTTGTTTATGTAGTTTCATTACAATATTTCCGCGTTAGTCATTTGGTTTTAAGTGTATTATTAATTTTAGAATTTTTTTTAAGTTACTTTTTTAGTTTTTTTTTGTCTATTTCTTATCATTTTCAAATTAAAATTCATAAAAAATTTTTCTTTTTTGTAACAAATCGATTAAGTATTGAGTTATCCTTTTACTTTTTTCATTTATTCAAATTCTTGCGTAAAACGAAAATTACGAGAAGTATCATAATCTGAATAAATGTTGCACGGTTTTTCATTTTAGTTTTCGACTTTTATTTATTACCATGGCCTAGATTTTTTATGCTCCTAATATCCTTATTTTCAATCCTGTTATAATGAAATTTATTTACATTATCAGGAAAATCTAGTATTAGAAAAAATTTGTTTAGAACGTATTTAATATTTTTTTGCGAAATCAATTGCGAAGTTATTTATAAATTTGTATTATCATTTACATACCTTTAAAATTTATTTTACTTGATTTCAAGTGAACGAATTCTTTTGATGAATCTATATTTTTTCACGAGAATCACGTTAAAATAAATGTAATAAAAAAAAATGTTGTATTTTCATTTTTTAACCAAATATACATTGCAATATCGATAATCAAAAATAGTTTCAAAATTTTTTTTTCTACTCTACGTGCTACTGATACAATTGACACTTTGATTTTCTCCCATAAATGATTATTGAAAAGTGTTTTGGTAAAAAATGACGAGTAAATAGTTTCATATACATATATTTTTAGATAATTACGTTTAAAAACAGCACATACTGCTCATCTGTCTAGTCACTTTGGATGATATGTTTGTATATTTTTAACACATCAACATTGAAAACTTAAAGAAATTATTTTAAAATATAGTTACTTAGCAACTCTAAGGTATATTACTCAAATTTATTTCTCGCCCGTTAAAGAAAAAAAAAAAAAAAAAGAAAAATTGTACAAGACAAATAAATACCGCGAAACAAACGAGTAAGAAGAGGGAATAAGCATTAGGAGGCAGTTGGCATTTTCATCCCCACTGCCAACGGGATCTGTATTTTACGTATACATTTATTTGCTGTAACCACAACACAAAGTAAGATGTAAGGGAGAGAGAGAGAGAGAGACAGAGAATTAACGTGAACAACGTGTATGCTTATTGTTCTAGTGTGCAACTGCAACCAGCACTCGAGGAAGTGCAAGTTCAACATGGAGCTGTACAAGTTGTCGGGCCGCGTGAGCGGGGGCGTTTGCCAACAGTGCAGGCACTTCACGGCCGGCAGGCATTGCCACTATTGCAAGGAGGGCTACTACAGGGACCCCTCCCGGCCCATCACTCACCGCAAGGCATGCAAACGTGAGTACAAAACAACTTCTATACTCCATGTACATAATTACGACGTATGCGTGTATACGGGCAAGTTTTTATTGCGCATTTGTCATCGGTGCGAGGGATCTCTCGTTGCGTAAGCTCCCAAGGATCGCTTAGACCGCTAGTACTGGGGTTTTACAAAAAAAAAAAAAAAAAAAAAAAGGAAACTTTACAACGTAGTAGATTTACAAGTTGGCGTGAAGCATAATTTTATCTGGGAAAAAATTTTGATGTGGAAAATTTGATTCGGTAAACAGATCACGTTTGAAGGTCAGACAGTCGCGACGGTAAGTATACCTCGTGATACACTGTAAATCTATGATACAAATTTTCCTCCATAATAGCAATAAGTACAAGGAAAGAAAAAAAAAAAAAAAAAAAAAAAAAAAAACAGAAATTCTAGAAGGGGGAGATGGGCAAAAACGTCTAGAAAAACAAATCGAGCAGCCTCGAGGGGGTGCAAGTTCGCATCATAACGCACATTGGGAGGAGCCGAGGAACTAGTCTTCGACACCCCTTCCCCCCAAGTACCGCTGAACTTTGTCAGATAAATCACGGCGAGAGTGGCTCCTCCGCCTTTGCAAAAGTGCATTAAAAGACGGCGGCAAGGAGCCGAGCCGGGAGAGTCACGAGAAAGAAAGACCGCGAAACTCTCTGTAATGCAGGCGTGGCATTTGTCCCTGTCCCCCTGCGTACTCTGTCCACGTCGAATGTGCCCCTGTGTGCTCGGGACAACCCTTTGGATACATATACTAAGTGCTCGTGGCACGGCTCTTGCTTCAATTTATGTCGCAAGTCTAGACTCTCTCTCTCTCTCCCTCCCAGCGTAAGTAAGCGCGTGCAAGCTCTGGGGATGTGCCGAACCACACCGTCTAGAGAAGAGCTTCTGTTTGCTCACACATAGATGTATGCTCGAGCAAAGTCGCTGGTTTTTTTTTCCGCCTCTCACCTCGTGAACTTGGATGTTGGAAAAAAAAACAAGGGTTGTTTACGCTTGACAATCACCTCTGTGAAAATAGGCGCTGTATCGATTCGCGAGGATCGATGGATCCATTTTGCTTCGAGGTCGCTACGGTACGTACTCTCTGAAAATACAAAGTCGTTCAAGCTAATTGCACCTCCGAGTTTTTCCGATCATCACCCTTGATTGCGTTTAGAATCGAATTTTTAATTATATCGATGCTCGAGTAGCCGACTCAGTGCTCAAAAGACGTTTATTTTTATGAGCTAACATATTCAGAAAAAAATTGTTTCTCGTTCTCGGAATCCTTGAACTAATACACTTCAAAGCTCGAAGGACAAGTAACTTCCTCCGCGTCTTGTCTCTTACATGTAAACTCGGGTTGCCAGTGGTAGTTTAGTGGTAGTCGTGTCGCGATGGGCTTTCGAAAGCTCGTCGGAGCGACAAGCGAATTGTACGTTCCAACATAGTGTCTGATGTGCACGAGGGACGCGTGGGCGAGCGCACGTGCGTGTACGGTCTTCTCTTAGTTTCCATCTAAGGCAGATGACGAGTCTTTAGTCGCTGTTTGCTTCGAGGACTCTGGGTGAGGAGGCGGTTTTGCTCGTGTGTCACTTTTACTCCCTGCCGTGTCGCGGGGACACTCTCGAGATGGATTAGAGCTTGGGATTCCGCGAGATTTCAATTCTGGGTAGAGGACGGGAGGACTATTGTTTTCAAATTAAACCTCATCGTCAAGAATACATTTGTAACTTTGTTGGGTGTCTTTTAACATGAAAATCCTCCCTTTGTCGTTGTCAGATAAGTGAAATGAAGGTTATCGAATAGAAAAAAAAAAAAAAAAAAAAAAGTGAAACCATAATCATTTTACGCCTGCACAAGCCTCCGGTGGAGTGATTTGAAATTCAGTTCTGGCAGAGCAATAAAATTGTGACGTATAATTCAACTGGGCGTCAAATGGTTCTTATTTATGGCGGAGCTTCTCATTCGAATTCAAGTTTAAGCCGAGAAATTCTGCCGTACAGAGGCACGTGTTCCTCCCTTGAGCTACATTCCGTTTCAGTACAATACACGTACTAAAGTCATGCGCTTACAATGCGCTCATATTTCGATGTCTGAATACGAAAAGCGTGAAGGGATTTCGAGGCTAGCAACGCTATTTGTCAACGAATTAAATTACAAAGGACTCTCACGAGGATAAGATGGATAACACTCCTTTTTTTTTGTAGGGAAATGTGTAAGTTTTTACTTTTTATGAACATGTTTGGCGGGATCATCATTTTTAATATACATATAGCTCGGGTTGATCAAAAATTTTCATTTAGTCACTTTCATGGTAAATTTTTTTTACAAAACCATGATTATATGAAATGGTACTAAAAAATTTTGCCATAATGAAATTCATTTCCTTATATTTGAACAAAGTTCAATGTGTCTTTATCGTGTGTTGTTGTCATTTTCAATGACTTGTTGTCAAAAAATTAATCCTTTTGTTCAATGTTACATGAGCAAGTGTGATACAACCCTCAAATTGTTAATAACCATTTATTTCTGCTTGAAACATCAGATAATGAAAATTACATCAATCATCTGATAAATTGAACATTATAATATATGAGAACTCACAGCTATCAGATGAATATCTACTCGAGGAAGCGCTTAGCCAGCGCATTGAAGTTAAAATTAAAATTGATCAGTTTTTTTTTCAATTTATTTCCACACTGCGATCGATCCATCAGAACTCGAAGAAAGCACCTTGGCGCAAAAAAAAGCTCAGCACCCCTCATTACGAAGCAAGACCTATAGCTCAAAAGATCAATAATTAAAAAAAAAAAAAAAAAAAAAAAAAACTGTATGAAACAAAAGCGCTAAGAACCAGCGATCCAAAGGTGGTGCAGGAAATTCTTTTCCCACTTATCGATCTATCGGCATGAATCTTCCCGCGCCCCCCTGAACATAATACACTCGGACCGCCCATGCGACCTATATATATATATGCGTACACCATACATTTCTTTGCCTCCCGTTCACGTACTCACATATACGGACGTTCATTGCACAGCGCAAGCCCAGTGCGCACATAATAATCGCGGGCGCGCATCTCAAGGAGCCCTCCTCATTCATTTCGCGCCTCGGCTTATCGCCGGCCAGCATCACCTTCGGAGAAAAGGCCGTATCTCTTTTTCTCTCTCGAGAAAACAATGCGACCGCGCCTCTTGTAAATTTTTAAACGCTTACTCGCGATGCGAGGGGGACCTCGCGACAATTATGAGTGATAATGCGTATACACCCTATACATACCTCGCAACCGCACAAGGAGGAGATTTCTCTTTCTGCCGTGTGCGTGTATTGTATAACAATACCAGTGCCTATCTCTGCGAGGCTCTCACTGCTGGCGCGTGCGCTGGTATTTGAGGAATTTGCTCTCCCCGCGACGCCCATTGTTGCCGCCATGTGTACGTGTGTAGCTGTATTTATGCTGTTGGAGGGCGTTTACACGATACCGGGACCGATCTACACGGCAATGGTACGTTGTTTTCGTTGGATCGTTTGTTTAAATGATTTTCGCAGGGATTCCTGGATGAGAAGAAACAGCCCTCGTTGCTTGTCCATTGAATTCGAGGGGCTGTGCATTTGAAAAACTCTGGGAGATTTCAAAGTCATCGAAAGGACTTGAATTTATTGAAACTTTCCGGTAGATTTTCAACGTATTTCGTAAACTTTTACATGTAGACTCTTGAAGTGATTCGCAAGTCCTTTGGTGAACCTTGGAAAGCGCGCAGTCTTGAGATAAAAAAAGAAAAAAACAAAGAAAAAGAAAAAAAAAAGCAGTTAGCAGCCCAATCGTGACTATATTGTCCATTGCACCTGCAGCTTTCTCCGATAAGCCATCAGGGAAAACCGATCGAAAGCCCAAACGATCCGAAAAACAAAGACACGCAAATCGGCAGCACAAAGATAACGCCCCGGGACGATCGATACAGCGCGTGTAACGAATGAGAAGGGGGGGGGGGGGAAGAAAAAAAATCGATCTTTACAAACACTACCGATGACGGGGAACACCGCCACCATGCAAGTATGGACGCATTGGCCCCCCCGGACACCACCGGTTCGCCATCGTGTATACGTATATCTCGCAAGTGCGATCTGCACCACGACACACGGATCGAGGCCGAGCTACAGTTCCTCCTCGAGTGCACCACGTCGCCGGGAGATGTACAATACATGGCTCGAGTTTCAAAGGCCGAGGCCGCTCGTGGTCACACAGTGCGCACACGTGTATTAGGCACAACCAGCCCGCGGCGCGGAAACCGGAAAGCCGTTGCGTCGGTGTATAATATATACATACACAATACGCACGGTACCATTCATTCGCGCGTTGAGGTAGCAGTCCACCCTCGGGCGCATACCTCCTCCTCCTCCTCCTCCGTCCAACCGATCTTTCTCTCTCGCGCACTTTACTGACCGAATCATCCGCTAATCTTTCCTCCCCCTACTGGTCCGAGGCAACCCTGTCTCCTCTCGTTCTTGGCAGTGTAACCCTCGGGGTTAAGTAAACACCGCGTGAGAGGACGAGACGCGGGGAGAGGGAATAATATAACGTGGAGACAACACTCGTACTGGTTGATGTTGATCTTGTGATTTTTTTTAAATTTGCTTCTGGCATTGTCAACTGTTTTTTTGTCAATCCTGAAAATCCTGATGGTATACGTGTAAAAATCTCTTGCGGCAAACATTGAAATGCCAACACCATAGACGCAGGGACAAAAGTACATGATGTGCAGGAAATAAAGGGCGTCAAAGCAATACAGAGCCGACAAGACCTCACCCCCTTCCCCCTCCCCCACGTCAGCGACACCCATATATACCTTATACACGTGACGATCCAAACCGAGCGGGCACCCACTCGCAAACAAACGACGCCTCGTGCGATTCCTTGTCTATTGCGTCTGGCGCGCGCCTCCGGGATTATCAAAAGTTCCCCGCGCGGAGCCCCTTCGCGCGCATCCTCGCTCTTCCCCCG